TGTCTTTTTTTTTTGAAATTCACGTATATATATTGTCCCATGCAATATTCGTATACATTATATAAACGTATGTATCCTTATATATAGTTTCACCTTCTATGCGACTGTCAATCTTGCTAGACGAAAAGGTCAGTTATGCTTTTAAAATTTTAGATTGTGACAACAATATATTTTCTATGAAGTTAATGGTTATATATTTAGATTGTGACAACAATATATTAGAAAAGTTAATGGTGAAAAAAATCAAATAGATTTAGTTTTTTTTTTTTGTCAACCCAGCCACATCTAATAGATTTAGGGGGCAATTGCAAAAATGTCATTTTTGGTGTGTACAATTGCAAAAATACCACTTAGGGGTGTCCATTTGCAAAAATGTCACTAAATATAGATTTTTAAAACCTAAATCTTAAAATTATAAACCCTAAAAAAAAAAATTTGACCCTAAAACCTCTTAAACCCTCAAAATTAAACCCTAATACAACATAGTTAACCCAAACATAAATGATATAATGAAAAAATAATTTTGAAAAAGTGGCATTTTTGCAAAGATTTTGAAAATATAGCATTTTTGAAAAGTGGAACTTCTTAAAATTTCTCTACATTTAGTTAGAAGTGAATTAAGGGACTTTATCGTGTTTTGCAAGATATGATTTGTAGAATGCAGAAAACGTGTTTTGTCCACAATTAATAGATATGGACTAGATAGAAGAACGCATATTTTGCATTAGCGTAAGTTTGTAGAATCGCAAAGCATGTCATCTACTTATGCTCCAACCGGCAAGAAAGATACATGTTTTGCCTAAACAAAATTCAGTTTTCTAAATCAAGCTTGAGAAAGCAATCAATTTTTAACGATAACACAAGGGGGTTTGTTCCCTTGTGTACTGGGTTCAAACTCCCTTTGATACGGAAGATTATTCTTTAAATCGAAAAAGTGAAAGGTTGACTTCGAGTTCGGAAAAAAAAGATCCATCAAAGATCAAAAATTTCATTTGGTAAGTGATATCCGGTAGTGTTCNGTAAATCATCGACTAAGTTCTCGAAGAATCAATTTTGGTTCTGCTTGTCCTCGTTGCAGATGATGGAAAATGATCAATAATGCAATATACAAATGTTCAACTCTATCTCTCATACGTTCATCATGCTCCAAATGTAATCAATTTACTTTAACTTTGACTAAATGATCAATAACTCTTTTGGAGGCAACTTGTATTGTCAGATTCCATAAATAAGAAAATAGTATTTCCGTGGATACATTAGCTTATTTCAAATGCCAGAGATGATGAAAGTTTCTAATAGTCGAATCGTGATATGCCCAATATAGTATATTATGTAAAACCGTTGAACCTTGTTTTGTTTGAGGATGGAGCGAGTCAATCCATAATGACACCGATCTCCGTCACCTTTGGAAATTGGGTGTGGGTATAAATGGCTCTTAGAAAAAGGTGGACCATTTTGTCGGAGTAGGGTGGTTTTCCTCAAGCGTCGAGGAGACAACTCTCAAGGGTGCTAAGAAAAAAAAGGAGCCTTTTCCTCCTGCACTCAGAAATTTGAAGAATGTCCTTTGTTATGGAAAGTGGTGTCGCCAACGAGGACATTTTGTTTTATTTTTTTTAGTTCTTTGAATTTTGAAAGCAACTTCTTTGACCCCTTCTGCTAGATCTCTTTCGGTCTGGTTTGCTAAACTTGTACTAGAAATTTGTCCCGCGTCAAACGTGGGATTAAAATATTTAAAAACAAAAATTCATAATTTTTTTATAATATAGGAAAAATTAGAAATAATAAAGATCAAATGGTATATC